AAAGGTTTAGTTAGTCAATTGAATATAAAAGTTTGTAAATAATAAAAGCAAACTTAATACTTTCCTTAAATGAATAAGTTACAAATTATTTGTCAAAACTGCAAAAGGGACATCGTTACCAGCAAAATGGTTTAAAGAATTGGTGTCAAACATAGATGAATTTCTTTCATAAATTCATAACAAAGTCACCATGCTAATAAAAAATAATACTCTCTTGCCGACTGATTATAGTGTAGCATTTAAAACACCAAGAGAAACTGGCGCTGGGACCCAACTAGCTGATACACAGGATTTTATAAAATTTAAAGCCGAATATCTAAAATTGGCTACCAAAAACATTGATATAGAAATCTATGTAATAATTATGCAGGCAAAAAAAAAGTAATTTAATTGAAGTTATTGTAAGAATTTATATATATATATCAATTAACTTAATTACAAAATGGTTTAGGATACAAATTTAAATGATAATAAAGTAAACGAATTTGTGATTAATCACAAAAATAGTAATAAGGTTCTACATATTTCTTCTTTATCCTCATATGACAAGGCAATTGCTAAGAATGTGCTAGAAATTCGAACAGAATATCACTGTAATATACACAATCGACCTTGTCTATACAAAGAAAGCAATAAAGATTTATAAGTAGAAATTACTTTTATAATGCTTTCAATATGGGCGTCAGACATGGTAAATTCTATTGTTTTCTTGCATTATACAAAATTGGATTTTCTGCAGTATTACATATTAATATACATATATATGTACTATATATATATGTAGAACAAAGGGTTGGCTACAATTAAAGCCCCCCAACACATCCTCTTTTTTCTCATGCTAAGACATCTAAAAAATTATATTCCTCTTCTTTGCAAGTATCACAACTGTTTTTACAAGTACTATCACCACAATCACAAGCTTAATTATTACCAACACCATTATCTTCATTACTGCACTGTTATCATCATTTCCAGTAGCTTTATTGTCCTCATCACAACAAGTACCATTAGTTTTATTACCGCAAGCACCATATGTTCTGCCACTACAAAATAATTGGGCTTATGGGTCTTCAGTATTTCAATCATTTTCAATGTCTTTTAATCCATATTCACAAATATTTCCTCACCAACCCCAAGCAAACAGATTTTTTTTGACTATACCAACAATGGCCGAATTTTTAAGAGAAGTGGATGAAAGTGAAGCAACTAATTATTACTATCAAAATTTCTTGCATGAATTTAAAAAACAGTAAATTTCAGTAAAGAATTTAGCAAGACTACCTAATTATGCACTTAAGCTATGTGGTGTAGACACAACTGGTGCCCAACAAACTTTGCTAAAAAATATCAGAATGCTTTTCAAATATCAGAAATTTTGATAGTAAAATTTTATTCAAAGTTAATATTTATGCAAAACAGAAAGGAATGTACCTAATCCAAAATAAATCCCACAAATAGTGTAATCAATTAAAATTAATATAAATAGTTTTTAGTTTTATTAATCATACTATGTATAGAATTACTTTGGATCAGGTATGTTCTCTCCAGTTTTTATTTACACATAAATTCTTACTTTGTTATATCATTATTAGGTTTTTAGGAAGGAGAAGTTTTAATGAAGAATCTTTGCAAAATAATACTTCAACTTCATTAAATATTGATTGCAATAATCTAGAAGAAATGCTTTATAATTCTGCAAAAATGCTAGCTTGATTTTGTTTAAATCATGTAATTTGTACAAATTTATTGAATTTAATAAATAATTTTTTGCAATATTATAATTTTAATTTATATTTAATAAAGTATAAATTGTATATAAAATAGAATGCTCTTATATGAAAATCAAACTTTCTTATTTACCTGAGTTGGAAATTGACAAATATAAATTTCTTATCAATTCACAACTATTTATTTTATTATTTATTTTTATGCAAAATTTTTGCATTTTACAATATTTTATCTAACTAAAACTTGATAATTTATTAGATTCCATCTATAGTTATTAGACGAAACCTTTTTGCTTGGTGATTAAAAATGAAACCTAAGCCCCAAAATGATGAAACTTTTGACAAAAGGTGAAATCTCAAATTCTGCTGACAAAAGATGAAACCCAAATTTATAATAACGAAACTTTAGTGCTAAAAAAAAAAAAACTGATTAATGAATCTTTATAATAATAGTAAATTTCTACTTATCTTGCTAAAAAATTACTAGTGAAATTTTGGTCTAGATGAAGTTATCAATAAAAATAATAAAATTATCTCTATAATTTAGATATTTAATCCATCAAATAAGGCTTTTTATTTATATTTATTACTGAAGATATTGATTGACTTGTACATATATTTAGGTTTTAAAAAGCCAATTACAAAAATCATAAATAGCAAATAAGCTATTAGCATCTATGTTTAATGCTGAAGATATCTATTGGCTTGACCCAGCTTGTATATTTAGATTTTAAAAAGCCAATTATAGAAATTTTATAATTGAAGATCTGAAAACAATGTATGTATGTACCTCTTATTAATTTTATTATCTGTGCTAATTTATTATTAAAAAGTCTTTTATTGATTTAGCCAATAGGTGTAATAATTTTTTAATTGATATCGATATACAGAAATTTGTGAAATAATATTAATTGTTCAAATTTACTTAATTGAACAATTATTTCTAAGTTACTTATTAAAATTGATACAATTGTATGTTTTAAATTTTAGTCTTATGTGGTGCCCTTACTTACACTTGTTTCTGTTTTCATCTTTTATTAGTTTTGTACTCTTTGCAGTTTCATCAGTTTTGTCAGTTTCATCACCTTTTGTCATTTTGTCATTTGAAATTTTAGTTGATGAAAAATGAAACTAGGTTTTGCATTTTAACAGTGCAAAACCTCAAGGTTTCATTTAGCAACTATAATTTTGTCTGTTAGAAAAATTTAGTATTGGGCTTTACTCAAATATCTTTGTTATGTTTTAATAAAATATTTTCATCATTCATCCATTCTGCTGTTAAAGATCATTAGTGTCTTATTGTCTGAACCTGATTTTATTTGATGAAAGTCACATCACTTGTTAGCCTGCGATACTGGTATCGCAAAGTTAATTAGTGGCTTTTATTAGCAAAATAATCTAACTAAAAGGGAAAGCCCTCAATGGTTATTAATGTGTTTTAATTTATTCATTTAAGGAAAGTATTAAGTTTGCTTTTATTATTTACAAACTTTTATATTCAATTGACTAACTAAACCTTT